CACACACACACACACACTACCCTTTTCACTGGATCTGCAGCATGGATGCTGAAAGTGATTTGCAGACCTCTCTCTGTGAAAGAACAGTGTCAAAGGCTGACTGCAGCTGGGGGTACCATGCTATGATCTTAAGATACAAGCTGCTACATAGATTTTCCTCTTTAGTTTTACTCACACCCAACCTATTTGGTTGAAGATGTGTCTCTCTCTCATATAGCTTCTCCCCAGCCTGTTTTAAACTTCCACAGAAAGTAAAGCAGCCCACTATGTGTAGCACCAAAGCTGGCCCACAGCACTCCCAGAGTGGATTCCCAGCATAAGTTTCACCACTGCTCTTTTTTTCAGTGGGACACTCGGGTTTTTTTTACACAATTCTAGACTAAGGTTATTTGGTTTGTTTGTTTGGGTGTGTTTTAAAGACATTGAAAACCCTGTTGGTCCCTTCTTCCCCCATTTACTGCAACATCAAGCATACTACACTTGCAGTTGGCTGTAGTCCTACAAGAGAAAATTCTGAGCCTTTGTTGATCACCAACACCACATATTGCTCATAGTTACTTAAACAAATGCAGCAGCTAAATAAGGACTTCTATACCGAAGCAGCAGATATGACTTACTGAGAATAACAGTCTGGTTTTATGAGAAGCTAAGAAAATTTGCGGTGTTTTTCTTGCAAATTGAAGCCTTTCAGAAGCATGGTACTCTGTCACGTGTCATGACGCAGTAGTGGTTAGCTTTTTTTGTAGTACCTTTCATCATCCCAAAGCACTTCCAAAAGTCAGTTAAGTATTAACCAACAGCGGCAGTGGGAATGCAATTAGTAATATCTTCCATTTTTTTCTTGCCTGATTTTTCAGTGATTGGCTTAAGAAGTTGGAAGCAGTTATTAATTTTATTGAGAGAAGATATAGCGAGTCTTTGTGTTGCAATTATTTTGTTGCATACTCTAGGTTAGTAAGTAGAGCTGAGTTTACGCCAAGGTCATTACATCAGCTATTTAAGTTACACCAATTTTAAGCTGTTATGGACAGAACAAGTGGAAAATGATGGAGCTGAGTTTTTCTGAAGATACTGTGAACATCAGCAAAGGGAGAAGTCAGAAAATGATGCCCAGCACCACTCAGTTCTGCTGCCCATCAATCAAATTAAATTCATGTTACAGAACAGGTTTTCCAGGCTTACGACAGACCCACCTGTACCTGACATTCACCCAATCTGCTTGTAAAGGCATCCCATGGCAAGTCCATTGCCTCAAAAAGGTTGTGTCTTTCTGGAGATAAGGGGCCCTTGTTGAGTCAGCACTATTTTCTCTTTTATTCCCAGCTGCAGCTCAAATTTAAGCCGTTAGAAATTGGGAATCTTCATTTGTCTCTCACCCCAAGTTGGGGACCTGCCAACTCGGCAGTGCCACGGAGCTGGAGCTTAGCATTCACTGTCCCCCTCCTTCCCCCGCCCCACAACACCACTCTACCTTAAGAAATACTGCATCTATCTGACCTAAAGCGTTTTTTTCATCTACCCTTGCCTTGATCTTGGATGGCTTCTACAAGGGGGAGATTTTTGGATTGCAGCATATACCTTTGGTGCAGTGGGGTGGTTCAGCAATCGGGCAGCAAGAGGCTGGGAGAGCTGGAGCTGGAGTGTGGGCTGTATGGTGAACAGCAGAGGTTCAGGTGGGTGCTGGGCAGTGAAGTTGCCTGCAAAGCAGGAGAGTGGCTAAGAGACGTGTGGCAACGAGAGAGGGGCATTGGAGGAGATGGCTGCCGGAGCTCCTTTCGAGCCAAGTGACAGAGGCACTTGCAAGTTCTGAGCAGAGGACCCTGACCATGCTTAGGTAGCTAAACCACAGCAAAACAGTAAGTCTCAAAACCAATAGCTAATAAAAAAAATAATTGAAAAAGAGAAAATCCCCAAACCCATTAAACTGTTGAACTATGAGAGGATTTGGGCGAGATGGGGAAGGGAAGAGAGCAGAGAGCTCCTCCAGGTGTCAACTATAGTGCCATAAGGGACATAGCCCTCCCTTGTTAGCTGAGGTCCAGGTGCTCCTCCTTTTTTCAAGACTTATGACAGGTATCTCTTCTGGTCACATGGAGGCTCATTCCTCAGTGTGAGAACTCTCTTTCCTCACTAAAGTTTTCCCTCAAGATTGTTTTGCAACTATCTTTTGTCTGGGTGGGAAAGAAAAAAAACAACCAAGCAACGCTACCCTACCTTTCGAGAGACGTAGAGTGTACTCATTCAGGAGCTGATAGCAACCATTATAGCTCACCTATATCTTAAGAGATACTCCCCCCCGCCCCAGAGTAGTTTGGTGCCTATTACATAAGGATCTCGCTGTATTTAAGCAAAACCACTTAGGTCAGGGTAATGGTTACTTCTCTTACCACAAACGATGCCAACAGTTCAGCCAGTGGTGGAGCTTTGGTTGTCTCCTTGTCAGTTAACCAAAAAGCCAGATTTTGTGTATGCAGGATCAATGCCAGAATCTAGGATCAGTGCAATTTGTTCTTCCCTCTTGTTTTGCAGGTACTTTTCGGGGGAAGGGGGACAAGGGAAGAAGTATCTAGGCTTTCCCGAGCTGTCAGGGTGAGCCATCGTTTACCTGCACCTAGTAGGGTCAAAAGGAAGCCGGAGAATATACTGATTAGAGAGCAGTTGGACACGAGGTGTTGAAGCAAAGCCCGTACACCTGGATGCCATATAACCCTAGAGTAGCTTTATTATTTAATCTATAATTTAATAGTAGACCTATAAAATAATTACATTATACTTAAAGCATTTCTTCATTTTTGTTTTCATTTATAAAACAAGAATTAAATACAGTTTACCATTACAAGCTCAACTCAGTTTTTACATAAACACAGCTCCTAGAAGGAGCTTTAAGCTGCAGCATATTCATATTGCAAACTGGTGAAATACCCAAGCAGGGCATAGCTTAAAGATTCTTGCACGTTTTTCTTAACTGAAGTTACTAGGGTGCTCTTCTCTCCCTAGTCCAAAACGCCTGACTGTAAGTTCACTTCTTTCAAGTGGAGACTGAGATCCCTGGAGTCTTAGTAGACTATAGCTATTGCCACTCCCCCCTCACCCCCCCCAGGCACCACGCTGGCACCACCGCCTCGCCAGCAATCCCTGCGCGAGGAGTCTCTTCTGTGCACTTCGGACACGCTGCGAGAGCACTGCAGAAAATCCATGGCCGTTCACGTAACAGGGCTACCAGACCTGACCAACCTCATCCTGCCCGTGCCAATCCCCGTAAACCGCTTGGTGAGCTGCTCGTGGAGCTCAGTCCTGAAAGCCTCTTAGAGCCGCCTGTCTCACAGAGAGGAGAGCTGTGGCACTGAGCCCCTGGCTGGCGAGAGCGCTGAGCGCGTTAACCCCTTGGAGCGGCTGCATGTGAAGAGGCTGGCGGGCAAAGGGCTCCCTCCCTCAGCAAGCTGGTTTCACTGGATGCAGATGCTGAGCTGTGAGACATGCATCAGGGAGTCGGCGTGTCATATTTAATTTGTAAGCTTCAGACAATTGAGCACGCACAGGCTTTGGTTTGGGGGAAGGGGCTGGTTTGTTTTGAGACATAGGATTTTAATGCAGCTGGGACTAATACAGATCAGAACTGGAACAAACGGGATATACAGGACATGCTAAACTCCATCAACTGAATAACAACACAGTATGATTTAAAATGAACTGCAAGTGTTCACCAACGCTGATTATGTAGGACTCAAAAATTGAGCGGACCACCAGTAGTGCAGCAATTACAACTTACTCTCTCCCCGCTCCTACAGCTGTGACCCATTCCAGCGGCACTGACTGATGGGTTCGTCCTTTAACGCTAACACATTAACATGGTTTCCAATCATGGGAGAGACACCACTCCCAAAACCTGATGACACTGATGCAGCTTTTGTATTCGCTCCAGCAATGACCACATTTTGTCCTTTGTGCAACAGTGCTTTTATACCTTAAGCGAAACATCGTTCCCTTAAGTGTTCTCAGCTCCTCTCCCGCTACCCTCCCACATTCTCCGGTCTGAGCAGGCATAAATATATGGATATCGTTCTTTTTGGAGTAAGAAACACACGCATATCTAACACACAAAAACCTACTGCAAACCTAGTTAAACCATGTCTGTTTTAAGCCAGGCAGCTGACCTAGCAACTGAGTCTCTTACTCAACGCATTTTAATCTCTGGCATATTCTGCCACACGAAAAATATACATGGCTAGGTCTATAATACTTTAAACAGCTGTTTACTATAGCTAGGTTACAAAAGAAACACTGCTGCAGAGACCACGTGTTTGATATGCTCTAACCACAGCAGCATCAGGACCCACTCTCAGTCTGCTCTGTGGTCACGGTGGCCGACCCAGCGCCTCACCCTCTCCCCCTCGCTCCTTATCTGTCGGTCAGACAAGAAGCCTGGAACCGTTTGTCATCATTGCACAATTAAAGTTGTCTTAAGGAGATGAACCTTGCTTTTTGCACGTCACTCCTCGTTACTTTCCCTCGTCCGTGTCCCCCAGTCCTGGGCAGCACCCCAGCACTGCCAAGTGGGAGCGGCACGCTCCGGACCAAAGCACGGGGAAGGCGCTCTCGTCTCGTGGAGGGGACTGGAGTGTAGGGCAGAGGGCTTTACTCCACACAGTGGAAACATTTAATGCTGGATTCAGCCAACCGGTCGCTTAGCTGATCAATCCCAACTTCTGGGAGCCTGCTCCACTCCAGAAGATTCAACCGCCAGACGATATTGGAAATACAATGAAACTTTATGGTGAAGTGCCTAACAGCCCATTAAAAAGCATTATTCCAGTAGGCAAGCGACAAGGAGCCTTTCCTTGCTGGAGAGATGCCTCCTGAAAGAGAAAAAAAAAAAAAAAACACCAAAAAAAAGGAAAAGAAGAAACAAACCAACAAAATGGACAGTCTGCTCAGTGGGAGAGGAGAGGCAGCAGTAAATCTGGTGGGGGCAACACCAAGCAGTCACTACACGCCTGCTCTCACAGTTTGCCTGAGTTGTTAAGATTCACAGACATGCACCGGCACTGCTTGACCTTCTGAATTTTCTTCAGTCGGAAAGGTGGGTCCAGCTCGGGGCACTCCAGCTGCACAGTCGAAGAGGTGACCTTGTGTGGCTTGCAGAAAGCACAGGACTGGAAGGACTCCTCCTCCTTTTTCACGTGCCGCGGTATGTAGAAGGAGTTGCACTGCCCATAGCAGAAGCGGTTGATGATGGTGCGGCTGATGCAGCCCTCCTCACTGACAGTCTGCCGCAGGGGCTGCGTCTTGCACCAGTCGCTCTTGAGGTACTTCCTCTCGGTGACCACGAGGGCCTCCTGGCTGGAGGCCAGCACCTCCTTGTTCAGCTGCTGCCTCCGCTCCGAGTGGTTGCTGCTGCTGTCTTTGTAAGGGGAGGGAATGGCGCCTGCAGGACGGTTTTTCCTGGTGTCTGTTACTCGAACCAGCGCTGCCATCAGAAAAACGGACAAGGCAAATTTCCAAATCATCCTGCAACGGCAACACAAGGAGCTGTTAGGAGAGACACGTTCGCAAACCACAAACTTGTAATGGAGTTGAACTTTACGCCTGCTTTTAAAGAAGTGTCGATCCTACCGCCTTTGTAATCCCACCACTTTTCCTAGGAGATTAGCTCTACTCCAGGGTGATTATTTATCATGAAGAGGCCAGGCTCTGTGGAAAGTCACGTCGCTCCCCTCTCCCGCCCCCCAAGCTCTCCAACTACTCTTTTTTCCCCCACAGGGACACTGCTGCTTTGATCACTGAAGCAGTGATTTTTACAGAAGCTTCAGCCAGAAAGGTTTCCTCCTTCTCTCTGAAATCCTGGGCCAAACAGCTGGGCAAACTCCTGGCTAGCAAAGGCTCAGGACACTCCTGCCAACACTGTGACAGCTGGTTTGGGGACGGTGGGGGAGAAGGGAAAGGAATACCAGGTTACACAAGGTGAACTGCCATCTGCCTCTCCAGCCCCCAGGTCCCTGTCCAGCCTTGTTCCACGTAGAAGTAGCAAGAGGTGTCCAAGAGCATATTTTTATTATTTTAAATTGCTTCTGAAGTTTCTTGGGTTTTTTATGGCACTTACAGTCTTGCATTTGTCGTCTTTGTGGGAGGCCGAAAACTTGATGGATTTATTCTTGCAGTAAGAGGAAATGCCTAAACACAACTTTGAGGACTTCATTACTGCAATGCCTCTTAGGCAAATGGTTTACGAAGGTTTGTAAACAGGAGAGAATTCAATATTTATTTTAGATGTTAAGGAATAGGGTAGAGCATAAGCCAGTTGCTAAGTTAAAATAGTCAGCCAGTTGGCAAAAACATTTTTTCCTATGGTTGTCTATTAGGATTTCTTGTTCTGTGGAGCATCTCTTACCAGCTCTTGGATTTTCATCAACCATTTGTCCAATTCAGTTTAGTAACGTGTCTCAATGCGCTTCCAGGATATCAGAGCAGACGTACTAAATTTCCTCATAAAGTCAATGCTCACCAGTGAACTGCCACAATGCATTTGACACTTCATTTCATGTTGTTCTCCCTGGGAAGGGAGAACAGAGGCTCTCTAGGGTGCCAGAAGTGAGTGCAGCCCAAAAGGTTCCCGTTTGGAGGCAAGGACACTTCAAGACTTTCTAAAAGTGCTCTGCTCACCTTTGTTTTTAATGGACTGTATTTTTATAATAGTGTACAGATGAAAGACTCCACTGTCTCTTCCCAGTAAAGCTTCAAATCCTTCCAAGTAATGATTTTTTCCCTTTAGAGGGATGCCAAGTCAAAAAAATACCGTCACACTGGTAAATACAGATACATCTAACACCAAAGACACTTGAGATGTGGCATAGGTACTCCTAACATGAAAACATGCCATTTCCCAAACAAAGACACCAACAGATCAAAAAGTGTTTGCAACAAAGGTGAAAGAGAAGATCACAACAGCAAAAACAAATAATTTCCACCTAACAAAGCAGATCCAGCGTCTTTAACCCCTATGGAGATAAAGAGAAGGAACTACTGTAGCTGACTCAAACTAGGTGAGATAATATCCCTTTAGGTGATTTTCTAAGTTTACGAGATCTCGGTGTCAGACTTTGACTAAATTTCTAAGGGGAGAAGTTTGAAGTGCTGAAGGAAAGGCTAATCCTATAGCTGTGAAGGGAGCATGTGCTGATACAGAGTTAAATTTCACCAGTATGCGTGCTTGAAACAGAACCACCTCTAAATGGATACCAGTATTTCTAAAACTCAAATAAGCTCATTCATCTCCAACCATGCCAGATGCCCAGTGACACCCACTGTAGCCACGGGTACTTTAAATCAGTGGCCTATTTTCACACTGCTTAGCATTCAGCATGCAAGTCCAGAAGTTTTGTCCAGAGTCTTTAAATGAAGCAAGACTAGACTTGGCTTTGCTCACAGGTATTGTCGCCAAGACCATTGGATGTCAACCCACACAGCCAGGCCAAAACCTAATCAGGTAATTAGTTTCAGTTGAATATAGTGTTCCACGCTTCCTTTCAAACTGTTCTCATGTTATTCTGCACTGATGGCTGCATTTCAGTAGTAGATAAAACAACTGATCCCCACTGCTTTGTGTTTTATACAGCAAGGGGAGGAAAAAAACCAGGAGCTACAAGCCTACACGTCCTAGAAAAAGACAGAGGTGAGCTCTCCACAAGCTGCCTTATGCCAACACTCCTCAGGCATACTCTTCTACTCTCCGCTTGAAACGCAAGCCCACAAAGCAATTGTGATAACTCTACTGTCCTTCAGGGAGGGGGGTTAGTCCTTTTCAGCAGGGATATCTTCTCTTCAGTCTCATTTCCCTGATCCTGGCAGGGAAGGATAGTACAGGTTCGGAGGCACATCAGAAGGAGAGATGCGCTCTTTACCCCACCCCTTCCTCTTTTCTATGGGAAACCCTGTCGTACCACACCCGCCCTCTCATCACAAAACCCAAGTTGAAACCATTTCCCTTTCACGTCAAGGATGGGGTCAAGTCAAAAGCCTATGGAGGAATTCAGGAAAGCTGACAGACAGCTAACAACTCAAAGTCTACAATATAGAGAAATAGTATAGTAGCTTTCTAATTACTGAAATAGTTTTATGTAGGCATGGAGAGCCATTCAACTGAGTAAGTAGGATTTATTCAGTAAGTCTATGTTTATAACTAATAAAGCATTATTAATGAAAGCCACTATTGTAAGGTTATAAACCAAATGCTGCAGTACATGTTAGCAAGTATTTCTACAGACAGGTAGGAACACACTGCCTATTTCTGCCATTGATCCTTATCAAACCTGGACCTTAAAATGTTTACATAATAGAATAATAATCTATTTTACACCAGCAGGTCAAATGTGCATCCTGTCAGATCGTGGAATTTCTAATCACAGGGTTGCCCCTTACTAGCCTGCAAATCACCTCTTTCTAAGCCCTGGCACACAAACCCCCTATTCAAGCAAGTAAGAGTGCAAACAAGGTCACCTGGTGCCAGCAACATGCCAAGGACTACATATATTTTCGGCACTCACATGCAAAGAGAAGAGAAACCTCAGTATTCTCAGAGATCGTTTTGGTAAACTCAGCCTGCATGCAAAGCAACATAGTGAATGCTGTCTGTCTGCAGACAGAGCAGGAGGAGAAGAAACACAAAACGTACTGCAGAAGAATCTGGCGTCTGGCAAGAACAGGGCAGTTCTGTCCTACTTAGGTGTACAGAATGTGACAGCATGTGGCTGAGACCAAGCAAGCGAGAGCTGCCTCAAGAGACCAACACCTCTGAAGCTGGCACTAACACCAGCCTGGGCCCACCATTCCCACTGCACTGGGGGTCGCCGTGGCAGAGATGGTGGAAGCTCCCCTGTGACAGTTTTCAGCTTCTCCAGGTGTCATCGCCTGCTGCTGCCAGTTCTCCCCACCCCTTTTTTCCAGTGCGTGAGCTGGTGCAGAAAATAACTTAACCTTAGAGTAGACACCAAACAAGGCCTAGCTGCATTTACATTTCACATGCTAAGTTTTTATCTCTTTGACATAAGGAAATCAGCATCAAGTCTGAGTTCATAAACTCATCAAACCCATCACGCTGGAGCTGGGCTATCAGGTACCCAGGAGTGTAAAAAATCCTTGGCCAAGGAGGCAAGAACGTCAAGATCCAGCTCTGTAATCTGGAGAGGTCAGGGCACGCAGCTAGGAGGGGAAGACCCAGGATCACCGTGTCTGCCCTTAGCTTTATTTCTTCTTTGTATCCAATTACTGTGTAACATAAAATATCTACCACGGCAGGCTCCCTCTTGCATACCGACCTTCTGGCCCCGTAACTCATGCATTCTTGAAAGCAATCCAGCTCCGGAGCAGGACAGGCAGTAGTGTAACCCCCAAAATAGCCTATAGTTTTGTGGTTAGGGCACTTCTATGGGAACTGGAGTGTTGGATTTGACTTCAGAATTCAAGCGAATCATTTTTGGAGAAGTGCCCCAACGCAGAGGTGGGTGCTATGGCCTGGCAGGAGGTAGCGGTGGCGCCCAGCTGTGCTGAGTGACTGCGCCACCGTTTCCGCTGGTTTTCAACGGCATGACCAGTTTGTCAGCTCAGGATGCAGTTTCTGACTAGAAATTCCCGTTCCGTAGATCAGCCTACTTCAGGGTTGCAGGTGGACAGAAGGAGAGAGGGATGTAACTGGAAGATTGCTGCAGTATTTTATGTATCAGGAAATCAGCAGGTGTGAGACCTATTTGTTTGGTTTAGCATGCAAGACCTACAAAGCACTCGGCGCTCTCGGCAGTCCTGGAAGCATCCAACGCTCTCATCCAGGTATGACACACAACCATCTCCTCTGCACCAGGCCTTCCTGGGAAGGGTTCAGAAAAAACGCCACGGCCAACGGTTTAAAAAAGTACATCTGCAAAACCTGTCTTACCATGGAACTTGAGAGCCTACCTGTTTAGCTTAGTCACAGGATGGATTCAGCCTGTAAATACACATGGACGAAGATTTAGTACTATAGTCAGACCTATCCTACACCCATCAGAAGTACCATAAAAGCCAATGAGTGGGAAGATGATAAACAAATTCAGAGACACTTTACTTTTTGGAAATTTTAAATTTAATTAACAGATGAAGAGTTTGCCTTGGAAAATAGTTTCTCTTCAACTACCAGCAAAAGGCAGGCACTATAGGCTAAATTAAATCAGGTACAGTTCTGTGGCACAGTACACGCACA